AGGCATCATTATTTAAGATAGGAATAACAAATTAACATGAGTTGATGATAATCAATTGGTTTGAAAATACTTTAATTTACAAATATTGCCACCCCCCCTCACTATCTTCAACTTAATTGGATTTTCAAAATTTCTTTTTTTTATATCATTTTGGCTCTATTTGGTAGATCATTCAAAAAATTTGATAAATATGGAGCAGATATTTGATCCTATTCCTTATATTGCTTAACAATTGGTTAATTAAAATCTGGTCCCAGACTGCCCTGGCTCTTAATTGCGAATTTTTTTTAAACATAGTTTAGCTCAGATTTTTAAAAATAAATCCACTTTTCGGTGCTAGGCCAAATGTACCCCGTCAGGGCCTTCTGATAAATATTAATGATAATAATATTTTCAATTTTTGATTGAGATAATATTTTTTATTCTTTTAATTATAAAATGATTGTATTTAATATTCCATTTAAAATTATAAAAATAAATTTATCTCAAAACATGTGATATAAGGGAAAAAGAAATCTTAATCTGGTCATAATTTGAATAAGAAAACACATTGCATTGTCATCTGTCACAATTTATAATTTGGAATATCCATTCATATGAATTTATCGTAACAATAAATTGTAAAACGAATTCCTATAAATTTCTTAGGATTTAACAAGGAAAAATAGACCCCCAGTTACCTTTCATAATATGTATTTTTTTTAAAAAAAACAATAGTATCTTAACGCTAACATTGTTAAACAGCTAACTCAATATTTTATTCAGAAAAATAATATACAAGCCTGAAGATTTTGGTCATAGATGGCACAAAAATTTGGACATCTATTATCAAAATCTCTAAGTTTAGGCCATATTTTTCTGTATTTTTTTAGAAATCTGTCCAAATCGAGCTCATTAACAACACTACTTAACAATTATGGATCCTGCAAGAAATAAATTCATTTGAAAAAATTAATAAATCTTGTTTATAATTATATTCGTTGTTTAAGTAATTACTAACTCAATATTGAAACATGATTCACTAAAAGAAAAAAAATTAAAATTTAATACTTAAAACTCTGATTAAATTATGCAATGCCTATCCCTATCTAATTTCCTAATATGATGAGCCACACCATAATCATTCAATATATTTTCCTTATATTTTTAGCAATATATAATAAATTTGTTTCTTGCACAATAATAATTTTAAAACATTTTGAACTTACCAATAGGGACAGAAAATTTTTCATAGTTTTTTTTTCGAATTTAAAATACTAAATTTTATTCAATTTAGAGAAAAAAAATAATATATATAATATAATATTTAATTAAGGCTAACCTAATTTTCCTAATTATTATAATAATCATTTATTAGTGTGGTGGAAAGATAAAATTACGCGTAGTAATTCAATTTTACGTATTCCACATTCAGATTATTTACTTTAAAATAAAAAAAACTATTTCTGTCGCATAAAAAAAAAATGAAGGAACAAATAAAATGGAGAAATTGCACAACATATTTTTTATTTGAAAAGAAAGAAGAGGATATAAGTTATATCAAAAGAGATTAATATTTTATAATGCTTTTTTTATAGTTCTCCCCACGATTATATAACATTATATATAGCATATATAATAAAAACTTTCGTTTTTATTTTTATGTTTGGAAAGATTAGGAAATTATGTATGTCATTCAAGCTATTAATGATATAAAAATTGTGGAATATTTCCTTAAGAAAATTTATAATAATTTTACGATTATATATAACGAAATCAGAATTTGCAAATTGCCCGGAATAAATCTAGGAAAACAAAAAAAAAATTCTCTTAAAAGTTTTTAGGAACTTGAATCTCCGATTAAGATTATTTTTGTTGGAATTCGAGTTCAAATATTATTATAATATCCTAAGGACAAATATGGGTTAAGTTACGGTTGCCTTATAGGTTAAGAATTACGTTCCTTTATTTAGAACGTTATTAAGATTACAAAAGCTATTCGTTACAAATTTAAAATAAGAAAGTATAAAGTACAAAAAGAAACTAGTTTATATCGTCTAATTTATTATAATAATTACAAAAAGATTATTTATTAGCATTTAATAAAAGAACCTATTAGTCGACTAATTTTTTAAAAAAAAATTGAATTAGGCTAAAATGATAATTATTTTTATAGATAATCGGAATTTGGTTAAATACCTGGTATAAGAACAGATTTCAAAACCGGAAACAACTTTTTTTTAAAAAAATTTTTAGTAAAGGAAATTAAAGCCGTTTTATTAAAAACATTTTCGAATCAGAATCAAATATTAGGTATCTCGTTTCAAACTCAGAATAATTTTAGAGATATAAAATAACGATTTCATAACAAATCCAGTTATTTTGTCAAGATTCTTATTCTTCTAATTACGTAGCTAAGCGGTTAGAACAATTTAAATATGTTTGCACGATATATTCTGGAACTGTTGGTGTATGGTTGGTTATCTTCATACAATATATCTGTAAAGCGGTTAGGACAATTTAAATATGTTTGCACGATATATTCTGGAACTGTTGGTGTATAGGTGGTTATCTTCAAACAATATATCTGTAAAGCGGTTACAATTTAAATATGTTTGCACGATATATTCTGGAACTGTTGGTGTATAGGTGGTTATCTTCAAACAATATATCTGTACATAATTCAAGCTTTAAACGAGGAGGCTAGAAATTTTAAAATTTTTTGAATATGAGATAATACAAATTTCTTCGTTCTTCCAAACTGGACTCCTCTAAAGATTCTTTAACCCAAGCTTCAACGTTTTATTATTATAGAAAAATTAATATTTTATCTTTCATAGATACATTATAACAAGAAACTTACTGACTATTACTAATTAATTAAACATTTTTTATTACCAAGATCTAGAGAGCAAAAATAGTATAAAGAGATTAGCTTAATTTTATGTTACCGATATTATGGTAGATTAAGCCTATTAAGTTTACATCAAATCGTTAACCTTGAAGTTTTTAAAGTTTAGAACAAATGTTAAAAATTTGTTATGATGCCGATCCTGCCTATCACTACGAGTGAACAAATAAGAGGTTTTTGCATTGAAGAAGTATAAAAGTTACTTAAGAGCAGCTTCTACGCTATCAAAAAATTAATGGCCTAGCTTATTAAATATAGATATTGAGATATCATTCACAAATATCAAATTTGTTGTAAGAAATGGTTGAAGGGCCCTATGAGAATTAGACCAGAAATATAATTTAGATATATTATATTTCTAATCATTTGTTTTTATCCTGTCTACATTTTGTTTATTTTTGAATTATTTCTTAATAATTTTTTACATGCAATATATTTTTGATACAATTAATTCCAATAGATTATCAAAGAAGAATCGAGATTTTAAAGAATTCATATAGAAAGAAAGAACGAAATAAAGAAAAATTATATTATCTGTACAAGGGTCTTGTGATAAACATGAAATATCAAATTAAGAAATGTCCCTCACTCATCTTAATTTAAATAAAAAGATATCGAAACATTGTTTATGAAGTATCTTAGGGAAAAATAGAACCGGGTAACTGTGGGCCATTCCCGCTAAAAACATTTGGCCCGATATTTATAATAATTAGGAATTGTACCGTGGAAAGAACCAAGAGAGGATATTGATTAAAGGGGGGGGTTGATTCCGATTTTTTAAATATACAAATATTTTATGGGGTTAAAAAGAAACAGGGAATTCGGATCCAGTCTTTTATTTTGAATTTATAATAATTTTTAGAATGGACTCTCATAATTTAAAAAAATAGTTATACTATCGGCAGCAACGTTTTCTAGAGTTGTTAAAAATCGGCACCTTTACAATTATCACTCTTTCTCAATGATGAGACTCGAGAGTTCAACTAATGAACTTTCGTCGTATAAATTATATTAAACGAAACTGATTTTAAGCGGATTCCCAATTATGAACATGGGGGGGGGGGTGTATCCCGCTAATCTTTATTACATTATTATTTAGGTCAGGAATAGATAATAATTACCAGTTGGTGATACTAGTTGCTACTAACCATATTCTAAATATTCGCCATGAGAGTGTATAAACTAGAAACTGTACTAAAATGTTATCTGCGAATAAATGGAAAATAAATATTTATTAATAAATTTGAATATTTAATCTGTTATTTTTATCTTTAATCTACTTCCAGTGTTAATTTGGAGACAAATCGCTTCCACCCCCTCTCATTTGTAGATGTTGTATGTAGGTAATAAATATAATTAACTTTTATTTAAAAATATAACAATAAAAAAATTTCAAACTAAGTAAGATTACAAATATAGAATCAATTTATAATTTCTCTAGAAAGCATTCATATCGGGCCGGATCTAATCGTGTTTGATTGAGACTGCCCGAACAAAATGAGTCAAAACTGGTCGATAGGGCTAAGGCTCGGCTAATACATTTTAAATATTTAATTTGAGGGTAAATATAATAAAATAACTTATTGATCGAGTAAATTAAATTAACAATTTATTTTCCAAGGAGTCAATTTTTCGTACTAGAAACTCGAATCGTGGCTAAGTCGACTTGGCTTAGCCGCTTAGAAAATTTATCCACTGACTCCGATAAATATTACATAAAATATAATATATCCTCAATTAGTGTTGGTTGTTAAACGGCTCGTTTTGAGCCTATTTTTCAAAACGGCGAACTTAGCCAGAAAAATATTGCCTAAGCCTAGGAGATTTCTATAATATATGTCTAAACCTTTGTTCCTTCTATGAGCAAAATCTTCAGACTTGCGTAATATTTTTCTGGATGAAATATTGATAGCCGTTTTTAAAAATCGATACAAATCGAGGCGCTTAACAACACTACCCCCAATTCATTAACCTTGAGTCAAATGATAGCAAATCATTAAATCTTTTACTCATAAATATCAAACAAAAAAAAAGGTAGTGAGTGAATGAATGAATAATAAAAAAAAACACAATATTACAATAAAATCGTATTGTTCGTTTTTTTTAAAAAAAAATTTATAATTATTAATTGGCTGATAATAATTAATACTTTTATATATAAAAAAAAACTATTTTTCAGAAAAAAAAAATCTATAAAAGATGGTGGATAAATTTTTTGCTTCGTAATTTTGTGCGAAGTGAATATAAAAAATATTTATCGAAAGCCGCACCCACCGAGGGCGGATATATAAATTCCTGCATTCGGAGTTAACGCTACTTCGCGGGGAGGTTAACGAAAATTAATGTTAAAATTATTAATTTATAATCATATTTCGTACACTTCGCCAAAAATGTCGTTATGAATGCAGGGTTTAGGCATAAAAAAAAATATGACAAACTATGAAGAAAGAAGATAATAAATATGAAAAAAAATGGCAACTCCTAACACGTGAAGGTAAAAGATCGGGTGAGTTCATTTTCTTCTTTTTACAAAATTATATCATAAATATTTTAAATAAATACAACGCGGTGTTTTGTTAAAATTTCAACGGCGAATAATAAATAATTATATTATTTAATATAATAAATATAAATTTTAATACCTATATTATACACTAAAAAAAAATCATTAAGGAAAATAATTAAACAAAACAAAATTGAATGATATTATTTCAAACATAATAATAGAGATTACTCGTTTTGGGAAATATGGGGCGGTGGAGGGGGGGGGGGTGAATGTAAGTATTATAGTCATATTAGTGTTCAAGTGATAGATGAATATTGGTAAGTTGTTCCATTATGTGATCGCTTATAATAGATCAATCAGCTTAATTATGTACAAGAGGGTGAGGCCCGGCATTGAACAAGTTAAAAATAGATTTTATTATATATATATATATAGGTATGTAATTTAATACGCGTCACCCGTCTAATTTACGATAGATATTTTTTTTAATGTACAAAATAATATGAATGTAAATAGTTTGTGATGTAAGCGATGCCGAGTGTGGGGTGTTCAGAATAAGAGTTCTTTATTCTTAGTCATGTCTTTGACGTAGGAAGTGAATTTTTTGAGGAATTTTGGGTACTCTCTTTTGTAAACAGCTCGCAGGACGGACGGGGGAGTCCAGCCTCCGGGATTAACTGAAACGCCGCAATAAAATTAAGAATGAATTAATAATGGAAAAGAAAATCTTTATTTTGGGAAGGGCTTCCTTTGATCGTATTTTGGTTCATTTTTCAAAATGGACCATATCATTATTTATATGCAAGTAATTATTCGATTTGTGCATTTAGTTATATATCATATAATTCCATAGTAATTATTTAACAATATTTAAGATGTGATCTTAATTTACAGCTATTAAATAAACCACCAATCAGAAAAGTGGACGAATTAACGATCTAAGTTAGCCAAAGCCTTTATTTTTATTTCTCTTTCTTTCTCTCGATTTCTTTCTTATTACTCATATAAATCTTGAGAATTAGTTAATCTTAAAATCAAATTACCAAAAGTATAATTGGCAAATGTTATCAAATTCATACTTCCTTTTACTATTTAAGAACTGGGCCGAAAAACCTCCAAAATTTTTGACTGGCCAGTTAGTTTGGATGGACTGATCTCTGGTTAGTGTAGATGGGACATGTGTTTAGAGAAGCGTTATAATTAGAGACCTTACCGAGGTGCCTATTTTTAAGGAGGCCTGATCAGATTTGTATATTTTAAGTTTTTCTGCCCATTTTCATTTTAAAATTATTTTATGGCACGATCCGACCTCTGGTTATCAAGCCCAGAGCCTAAATTGGGCTTGTTAGGAGTGTAATTAAAATGCTAAAAAAAAGAGAATATTATGATGCGTTACTTTTGGAGCAATATGTTATCTTGCATTTCACGTTTTTGCGGTTGATATTGGCAAAATTAATATCGTGGCTTCCACCTGGCGGATTATCGACGATGGTTTGGCAATGAAGAAAGACAGCTAATTTGACGCGTATGCAATTATTGTCCTATTTTCACGGGAAAATTTTAAAGTTAAATGTCGTATTGGGATCAATGATATATATATTATACACTACTAGATTGGCGATTCTTTCATTAGATTTATTTTAAAAGTGCTCATACATAGGAGTCAGCTGTAAAGCCATTTTGTGGTTTGCACGCCGAATGATTTTATTGGCATTCATATAATGATAAATAAAGACGCAAAATGGCACTACAGTTGACTCCGAAGTATGAACACTTTTAATTAATGAATCGCTAATCTAGGAGTGTGTATACATCATTGATTGTCTAAATTTTTTATCATTCACAGCTGGAGATTTTTAAATTAAAAAAACATCTGATTTGACGGGAAATGCATTCCAGCACCTACCCTATAAGAATCAGACCATTTTCGCTATAAACCTTTATGTATTTTTTTTTAATCTATATGGAAATTAATATAGAATACTTCAAAGGTTTTAAAATTGTCTGAAAATTTACAGTGTGGGTGCTCTCAATATACGTTGAAATACATTTCCGGTCAAATCAAGTTATCAGTGAATGATTTAAAATTGAGAGATCGAATCCCAATGAATTGAATTTGAAAACAGGGTTTATCTTCCTCATTCCTCTTTTTCTTTTCTTAAAATAAAAAAGAAAGAAAAAAAGATATTGATCAACATTTCCTATTCCTTCACAAGCCATGATTAGAAAAATCCCCTCAACCAAGAACTTATAGCTGTTAGAGATGATGGCATCTACAAAAGGGCACTCTAGGGGAGGGGGAAGGGGAATATATAAAAATTTATAGCTTAGTTAAGTATTAATTAAACCAAATTATACCTAGTTTCCACGAAATTACTTCTTTTTTTATAATTAGTCATTGAAGAGGACTAAAAATACCGAGAAAGATCTCCCGCCGGTAACTAACATAATCGAGCTAACAACAATATGAGAGGAAAAAGGAAAAGCTTATTCATAACGAGATTCAAAAAAAGGATGGGGAACAAATATATTTAATTTTAAAAAAGAAATTAGGATTATAACTATGGCTTGGGGATGGTCGTTAGAATAATTGCAAACCGACCAGGTGTCTAGGCACTTTGTGTTACCCTCTTCCGATAGCGAACTTTGGCTAACATTTTTGATATGAGACCAAAAGCAGGAATCCCTTTGAGTCGCAGGCCAGATCCTTTTGTGAATCTGGTGAAATACGAGGGTATCTTCGGATAGAACCTCCAAAATTTTCATTGTTTCCAGGGTAGCTTACATAAAATATTGTTTTAACAAACAAATTAAATGGGACCAAAATAACCTGAAACCGGTTTATCAGACTAAAATTTGAGACCAGACATTTCAGGGATATTAAAAACGAATTCCTGCCATGGGGTCATTCCATATCAAATCAATTACAACCCGTCTATCTCAGATTTTAATAAAGCTTAGGGTATAGGTAAATGAAGTGTTGCAATTGGTGAATCCAGAATTTTTAGCTTCTTAGCTCTACTAGAATTGGAGATGTAGAAGTGGATCTACTTAGTCATTTCGAAAATAATGATTTTTCAAAATTAGGATAACTTTACCACAATAAATGTATATTATAACTCATTTTATAACCCTAAAAAAAATTCTTGTGAATATCTTAATTTAAGTCTTTTGATATTTCCGGTTAAAAATTTGTAACAATTATTTAAGAGTTATTTGGAAGCCCTACATCTCTCAATTTTAATAAAACTAGGAGGCTAAAATTTTGAATTCGTCCATTACAAGACTACATTTAACCTACATACCAAATTTTATCGACATCTGAGATGGTTATGTTGTAAAACGATTTGATTTGATATGGAATGACTATTCCGATTTTAAGAATCGAATCAATCATTTAATATTTTTTGAATAATATTAACGAATATCAGTTCGGATTATTTTAATAAATTATTCGTATTCGAATATTATTCATTGGTTGATTCGTATCAGGCGAATATTAACTTCAAAACTAATAATATTCTAATTAAACTCGTTAAATGTCGTTTTTTTTCTTTTCGGAGTTAAAAATGTCAAAATAATGTGAAGAAAAATTGGTAAAAAAAACATCTGATAAATGAAATCGGTTCGTTCGAATAATTCAAACAACGATTATCTTAATTCATCGTATTCATGATAATTCAAGATAACGTATATTATAAGGGTTCTGGACCCATTAGGTATTGATAAGGACTCCGGTTAAAAAAAATTTTTAAAAGGGGTTGTGGTAGTGTTGCTAAACGAATCGATTTGAACCAATTTTTGAGATACGGCTAGCTCAATATTTTAGCCAGAAACGAATTGTTCAAGCTTCGAAATTTCGCTACTAGATGTCCAAACCTTCGTGCCAACTATGAGCAAAATCTTTAGGTATGGGTAATATTATTTCTAAATAAAATATTGAGTTTAACCCGATATTTAGAGCGGTTTAATCAACAAATACTACGGGGGTTGTATACGAAGATACGAATAAAAATTTTTATTTTGGTACAATATGTTTTATTTGCATAGCGTTCTGGTAATGTCTTTCAGATTTATAAATATAGGCGAACAGTTCCTTTAAAAATATTAAATCTTTTAGCACATTCTCCTTTGAGTATGATTTAGAAAATTTAACAACCTCCATTGTTTAATTAACGAAAACTCGTTATATTTGTTTGTTTTAAATTAATCTATGATAAAAAAATGACTGAATGATACAAAAAAACAATGTCCCCTTTCAAGAGGTTTTATGCAAATAGGTCAAAAAAATTAAAAATCTGCCCACTTTTAAAGTGGACAATTGTGCAATTTATCAGGGCATTTTCTAGTAGTCGTAAATAGGAATTTGATTTCGAACTCATAATTTGAACATCCAACTTAGATAGGTTAACTGTATGTTATTGAGGTTGGGTTCGGGTTAGTAAAATCAAAACCCTGGATTAATTCCTCTAATGGGGGAAGGAGGGGGGAGGGGGAATAGTCAAAATAAATCTAATGGAATTATATTCATTCAAAAAAAATTTTTACTTTCCCAATCGTGCCTGTAATTAGGGTCGAAAAAGTAATGGCAAACTTCTTTAGCGGTGACGCCCTAAAAAAATTTGAAAGGTATAATAAAAAAAACATGTGAAAATGAAAAGAATGGAAAAGAAAAGAAAAGAGGGTTAAATGAAAATGAGTCAAAATTAAGGAATGGAGAGAAAAAAAACCTGGACAATATGAATAGCTTTGAGAGGATCGCAAACGAGTCCTTCCTCCTCCAGTTCTCGTTTGTAAATCTTCATATCGCCTTCCTCGGCTATAAGTTGCCATCGGTCGTCCCTTAGGTAAGACAAGGGGTCGACTTGGGCTATTGCCAGCTGCTCGGCGAATATTCTGTCTACCTATAAGAGAAAAATAGTTTTTTTTAAAAAAAAAGGATATTAAACAACTCATTAATAGATTTAGCTACTTTTGGGGGTTGGGTCAGATTGATATGTCTTAAGAAATTTTTTTTAAAAACGTGATTGATAACAAACACCATACATCCTTTCAAAAATCTCACGTAGGGAATCGGTAATTTTTGGGTTGAATTATATTGGGTATTTTTTTTAAACCAGTAAAATTTCATGATAAGACATTATAACCCCGCGGATCACTGAAATTAGTTATACGAATTTTTTTCCCGCCAAATCTGCGAATCACGTTATTTAAGCAAATTGGTTTACTAACTTTAGCTATACATGCATCGTTGACAGGCAAATTTAATAACATTAATTCCTAAATTCGACAAGATAACTCATATCTAATTTCAGTGAGCTAGGGCGGCGGTGTTATTAAAGTAACTTTAAAAAATATTCTGTTATTAACTTGAAACACATATTAATAAGAAGAGAGCCAATAACACTTTTTGGCCGATACCGGCCCGGTTTTATTTAAATTTTTCGGAACGGTCCGGGTTTTATATCAAGGCCGGCTCAAATTTTTAAAATACGGCCCAATCTGGAGGTCTCTGTTTTAAAGCAAAATTATCATTCCTTAAATGTTTATTCATTTATCATTTAATAATATAAAATTTGTGAGAGAAATATTAAATTTAAAAAAAAAGAGATAGGAGAAAAAAAATTAACATTACATTACTGTTTATAGATTTAAAATTTTGTAGATCAAATTTTTGTTTAGTTTTTATTATGAGCAATAGTTTTCATTTTTGGGTATTGGCCCATGATAATGGTTAAAATTGAATTGGCATAAAATATGCATCTCTGCAATATGATCATTTATGATCTTATTATTACACACTGTTCACGTTTTCTTCCTTCCATCTTTCTCCTTATAAAATTATCAATCTATTTATTTATTTGTTCCTTTCCATGGTTTTAAAAAAAGTTAACTATACAAGTTTCTATTATATTTTTACTAGGTATGCAATAATAAATTAACCTCTCCAGAAAGTCTGTGGGTTTTTTGGGATGGATGAGATAATTTGGAGATGGCCGAGTGATAACTCGCGGATTGTTTCGAGGCCAGCTGTTGTCTGTGTTTGAGTTCCTGCGCGTTAAAATAAAATCAAAAAGATAAAATGCTGAAACATTGAATGAAAGTAGATGCGGTTAATCGGGATAAAAAGGATCTGAAAAGTTAGAGTATACAGGGTGGAAAAGGTATAGCGCGATCTTACTATTTATTAAATGGATTATATTCTAATAAAAGTTAGTTAATTCTGATTAGCTTGGTTATAAGACTAAATTTATAAAATGAATACATCTTAAGAAAGCAAAAAAAAAAAAATGGAAGTAGATCATATGAGAATATTTTTTTTCTTACGTTTTCTTCCTTGTCCAATTTGTCGAGCGTCGTTTCAACGGCGTCGAAAAACTCTTCCTCCTTTATAGCGCAATGGGGCCCTTCCTAAAAAAACAAAGAGGAATATTATTCAACAATCATTTCAAATAATAAAAGTATTTTTTTTAATATCTTTCTTTATTTCGTTCTCTCTCTCTACTGATAGTAATATCATGTATGTGTCATGTAAGTAGCAAATAATAATGTAATAAGAAACCACGCTAAAAAAAATCCCCGTAACGCAACGCGAAACGCTTGATTCAAGCAAATCACAATGCGTTTTATTTTATTCATTCTAATTTTCTATTTATTTATTATTTTAATTTTTAAAAAAATAATTACGTGCGAAAAAATAAAAATTAAGGATAATTAACAATAAAATAGAAAACTAAATCTTTACTTCAAAGTCGGGTCCTCCAAATATCATCGTTTTTTTGAGGTTAAAATTTTGAGCTTGATTGCAGAGCTCTTCCAGCTTTTTCCGCTTCTCAACTTCCTATTGCATAATTACAGTACCCATTAAAATCGTATTAAAAATGGTGGTGGGGGGGAAGGACTCCTAATTGTATTAAGAGTAAAATATATTGGGGAGTGGGAGGTAGGGAGTAAATCTAGGCACACTGCTTCCAAATATGATTTATTTCTCGAAGACGCTGGAAATAGTAAGGGGCAATCAAATAGAAATAAACTTCGCCCAAGGACAGAGATAGAATTTGACGGGTCGAGGTAAATATCCCATTTAGATATGTGAATCGAATAATTTATTCGAATTATTTTATTATTGGAGTTAAGCCAGGCCCGGATATTTACAAAAAGAAATCTTTCAAATGAGCCGGGCCAGCTTTTGAGGAGCTCGGTTAATTAGGAAGAGTAAATATGGATGCCCAAAAGACTCGTGTTATGTAGAACCGATGCCGGTAAATAGTCTATATAGTAAATTTATCTATAAATTTGGATATAAATATATCAAGGATATCACAATTGGGCCGAGGTTTGATGCGTAATAGGAAGGATATAATATATTGGATATGGACTAAAACCCGATGTTGGGATAGAGTTGTGTTCCAAAAGTATCTGCAAAAATTTTGAAATTTTTACTTCGTTTAGGATATTTTCTAAAAAAAATGGGTGTATACATTGTTGTCTAAAAAAAAATTTCAGCAAGGGATATTTTACCGACATCGATTATCTGTAGTGAGCTTCTCAAGTGCAAAATTTTTAGTAAAATGCCGGTTTAAAGTTTCTCAAGGAAAGCGCCAAATTTTTAAACGTTTAATTCGCGGAGGAAAAAAACGTTTAAAAAAACGGGGAATTTATTTATAAAAAACCAAAAAGTGACTGTAATAGAATATAATCGTCACTTTTAAAGTAATTTATGATAAGGACCTTTTCCAATTTTTTCTTCCAATGCTCCTCCCTCTGGTAGAGTATATCGATGCAATGGGAGAGGGTGGCTATGAGTCCCGAAGTTGTGGCTTTGAAGGTGAAGGCTTCGCCTTTAAAATCTAGGCTCTGAGGCCAATACCCATTTTCTGATAAAACAAAATAAATATTTTAAAATGCAATTATAAGCAAAAAATAAATGCTTATTTTTTTTAAGAGAGAGAACCTGAAATTCCTGATCAAGTTTTTAAGATATTTTTTAATTCGACCAGGTAAGATAAACTCGAACCGGGTCGTAAAATGAACATATGGTATCCGAATCGAACTAGGCTGTTTTATTTAAGTCATCCTCCAATATAAAATACCGTATGATGTGAAGATATAAAAAAATCTAAACACGCGATAAAATAAGCTATTCTTTTTAACTTCTCTTAAGTGGTCTATCTTCGGCTGTGGTTAACGTGATGTCGTTGGCGCTCAAGCCCTCTTCCCCGTTAGAGGCGGTACCGTTATTTTCAAAATGTTCGATCAACCGAGTGTCAACGGTAGGTTCGTCCTCCACCCTTTCCGAGTGCGGTTTATCGCACTCGCCGAAGAGGGACCTATTAAATTTCTCCCTTATAAGGGAGCCAGCACCGAACAAATCAATCTTGGACAGTATGGCTGAAATAAAAAAAAATGTAGAATTGAAGGATAGTTTTATTGTTAATGTTAATCGCCATAAAAATATCTTTCGCCTTGATAAATTCTTTATTTATTTTCTTTTGTCTTAACCAGCTGGTAAAGAATTAAAAGGACAAAATATATAATTTTGCGAAAATGTTCACTTATCTCATAAAAAAAATATCTTATCCAATCATGCTAGCTGGCCTTGATTATTTTATATATACCCCCGGAATTTATGTTGCTTGTTACAGCCAAAACCAAAAGTAATTTTTTCCAGTTTTTGGAATGTTTCGGTACTTGATTTTTCTTTTTATCAATTATTAACATCTATGTATTCATTTAATATACTCTCTAAAAGATTTATCATTTAGTTGGCATTTGGATAATTATTTTTTGGTTTAAATATACAATTAATTATGGAAAAAAATAAATAAACAGGGGACAAAAATATCCTAAATAAATAAATCGAATAAAAAAAAAGTATTTATTATTTAGTTAAATTTTTTCAAATCCTTCCCTAAGAATCTTAAATATTTTGGGATCAAATTAGGGTAATTTCTATGTCTCCGCGAATTTACCAACGAATATTATAATATTATTGCACCCTATAAATTTAGTATCATAATAATGAAGGATTTCAGTTGTCAAACCCTACAACACTACACTTCAAAGAAACGGAGAGGTAGGTTTGTGCTATTCCCGACCGGCGTTAATAAGAGATTTTATTCAAATGGTGTGGATTTTCTTTAAAAAAAGATATATATATACATACTATGAGTTCGAAAAAGATTCATGGTTAAATTGTTTGAAATTCGTAAGGTGGTGTTTTGTGCCGGAATCGGGGCATATTTAAATACATTGATTTTTTATTTTAAAAAAATTCAAAAATCTAATTTTTTAAAAAAAATAAATATTTAATGAGACATTTTTCATAGGTGGAATTTTACATAACTAGATATTTATCAGAGATTTGCAAATTTTTTAAACATAACTAGATATTTATCAGAGATTTGCAAATTTTTTAAACATAACTAGATATTTATCAGAGATTTGCAAATTTTTTAAACATAACTAGATATTTATCAGAGATTTGCAAATTTTTTAAACATAACTAGATATTTATCAGAGATTTGCAAATTTTTTAAACATAACTAGATATTTATCAGAGATTTGCAAATTTTTAAATATACCCGGGTCGGGTCTAAAGGTCAGGATGTATACTTTGAATCGCCATTATTAGCTATAAAAATTAAAAATTGTAATATATTTTTAAAAAAATCCGGGCCAGGCCTGAAAATATAAAACCCGAACCGGGCGAATAAAAACTTTTAAAACCGGGTCTGGGCAAAAATTTTAAGTTAAAATGTTTCTTATTAATTTATAGTGGGGGTCATAAAAAGGAGCTCGCAATTCTTTTAATAAAATTAAATTAAAGGGATCAAGCAGTGTATAAAAAAAAATGTAATCATGAATTACGAGGACCATCTATCTCAGAAAACCTCAGTCTATGTACAACTTAAAAATAAGAAAGTTGGAATGATGATTATTCGATAAATGATAAATGAAATAGCGGAATACCTTAAGTTGATAGGTTTAGATGAATCCTAAAGGTTCCTTCTGTCCATCCACTACTATTAGTTCTCCGACATCATTGTTGAAGCATCAGAAATAAAATGGTACTGAAACTAGTATTGTTAAACGGCTCGATTTGAGCCGATTTTTAAAAACGGCCAACTTGATATTTTAGCCAGAAAAATATTGTCTAATAAACCTCGAGATTTCGGGAATAGATGTCAGAACCTTCGTGCCATCTATAACCAAAATCTTCAGACTTGCCTAATATTTTCCTGGACTAAATATCGAGTTAGCCATTTTTTTAAAATAGACTCAGAGCCGTTTACCAAAAAAGAAAGAAAGAAAGAAAGAAAGAAAGAAAGAAAGAAAGAAAGAAAGAAAGAAAGAAAGAAAGAAAGAAAGAAAGAAAAGAAAAGAAAAGAAAGAAAGAAAAGAAAAGAAAAGAAAAGAAAAGAAAAGAAAAGAAAAGAAAAGAAAAGAAAAGAAAAGAAAAGAAAAGAAAAGAAAAGAAAAGAAAGAAAGAAAGAAAGACGATAACAGAAACTAAGACAATATATATAAAACAATTTTCTCTTGATAAATGTTAAAATTAACATTTATAAAAAAATTAATGGATCCGCATCTTTGCCCATTTAGAATATATAATCAACTTCCCCAAAAAATTGATTTAAATTAATGATTTTTTTTCTTAAAAAAATTATGATTTAAATCGAGATCAGATTTAATAAAAATAAAGACGACTGCACCCCCCCCCATCCCCCTTTCAAATTCAAAAAATAATTTTTTTAAAAAAATGTATATAATTGTCTATTTTTTTAGTTCAAGATAAATTGAAAAATTATTTCTTTTTTTTGAAAAAAAAAATAAACTTTGGTCGAAATTTCAGTCAAGGACATTTTAATACTTTATAAAAATATCATATTTTTTTAAAAGTTATTAAATATGTTTTAATACTTTTAATCTAAGCATGACATTGTAAGTGTTTCTTAAATTGATGGAAATTAATAGTTTTTTTTTTCGCAAAATGACAATTTTTCAACGACAAAAAAAATATTATATATTTTTACGAGAGATGCAGAGTAGAGAGTTGGGAGAGGGGAAAAAATTGTATACAGGTAAAAAGGTTTAAAAGGGTCAGTAAATAAAATTTATTTATTAATAAATATAAATGTAAACGTAATATTTTTTGGAACTTGAATTTCCTTTCTACATATGATACGGCATTTTACCTTCGTAAATTATCATTTAAGACTTGTAATCAGTATTAGGTATCCCATGCGACCAAGTCTGACCCGGGGAATTACGAGCAAGTTTCTGACCCGACCCGTTTTGTGAAGTTATCCGGCCGGCCAGTGAGATGGTTATCGGCCCGTGGGCCGAATATTCGGGCAGTCGACCTATTCCGAACTTAAAGTGTATCATTTCAAAACCCATTATCTGTTGATACCAACAATATCAAGCTTTTAATAAGATTGATTCCCCCAGTCATTTCCATTGAAAAAAATATTTAGTTTTAAATTTTAAGCCATAAGTGCCTCCGAATTCTAATGAAGCCTTGTAGTTAATGGGGTAAAAAGAAATAGGGAAAAAAGAAATTAAACAAACGCTTTCTTTATTATTTTAATATCGGTTTTCATGATACAATCAAACTATACTGCCCATGACGGAGCCTAGTATTTTACTTTTAAAATCAAGTGTTCTTTAAAGTTATTATATCCCAATCGCGAGCCTGATGATTTTACTCGTATATGGCAGAAAGGTTTGGACAATCTATTAACGAAATTAATATCTTAATTTAAAATTGGCTAAATCTAGCCGTTCAACAAACACTATTAAAATCTTTCTTTCTCCCTCTCTAACCAGGTTTTTAGAAATTAGTGGAGTCGACATTTTCTTCTTAGAAATTTCATGACTTAAGATAGGAGGCTACTAATTTTTTTTCCAGGTGCTGGCTAGAATTATCGAAATAATTGAAATTAAGAGAGTTAACATCATATCAAAAAATTTGAAGAAAAAAAATAATGAGAAAAATAATCACGATGTGGTTAAAATTAAGTTTGGTTTCAAATTTTTGAATTTTTTTTTTTGTTGTTTGTAAAATTGAAAAAAAAAATTATAAAATAGTAGAAAGTTAGAAAAAGTAAAAACAAATTTTGGCCAAAAAAAACCAAAACTATAACGAATTATCGATTTAAATCTCAAATTCTAATGCTACAAATATTATTTTTGAGGTAACTTTTTCTTTAAAAAACAAAGAAAGAAAGAAAATGATAACTAGTATATAATTATATTGTTAACTCAACTAAGTGAAAAACTTAATCATAGCCTAGTATATTAGATGAAACAGATAATGATTAGGTTTATATCTTCGAAGTCTTATAGTTTTGAAACGCAAAACGTAGTTATGTTTTCTCTTTCTTTCTTGATCAATTCTTTCAAGAAAACGCGACACATACTCACGATTACTGCGCAATAAATTATCAATTTCTTATAAAAATAAAAACGAATTTTAAACAATTTAAAATAACGGTTTTTAAAAAATAATTTTCATAAATTTTACCCCCTAAAATGGGTTCCCATCCCTTTAATATAAATTGACCGTTCGTAGTGACCCGTCATAACAAATGAGCCTTTCTTTCTTTCTTTTCTTTCCTTCAGGCGTCATAAACTTTTTAAAAAATATATATTGTTTATTCCTTCCAGGCTTTTATAGCCACAATCATAAATGATTAATATTTAGCAGTGAAGGTTATTAAATCATCTGTTCAAATGTCTTCTTAAAAATGTTCCAAAAAAAAACAATTTTTTTCTTATAATTTCAGGTTTCGGGTATAGTTTTCAGGCTACAACATTGTATAAAAGGTTCAGAAATTTTAAACTCTATATTTAAGGGGGAAATTTTGATAAAAAAACTTAATCGAAAATCGATTTTCTGAAGTCCGAACCTACCCGTCCATATTACCCCGTGTTCTATGGGTTGCTCGTAAATCGGTCTCTGTTTAGTCTGAGGTCTCAAAATGCCAAACCAAACAATTTTAATTTGAACCCAAATTGAAGTACAGAATCCTGGTGGAAAAAAAACAGTTTTTTCGGGAAAAAAATAAACGTTTAAAATACAAAAGATTTATCACTATTATCCTAATAGAAAATATATTCTGCAACATTTTATTGCAAATTTTTTATTATCGCAATTATTTTTATAACTTGCTCATTTTGTAAAATTTTTTATTATAAAAAAACTAACTTTTTATTTTTTTATAAGAAATATTTTTTTTAAAAATTTTGTTTTTTTTTTACAAATTTTATTGATAAAAAACAAATTTTTTTGTTTTTTTTATCATTTTTTACATCTCTAGCTAAAATATAAATTTAAAAAAAAATTGATTATATAAAATAATTATTTTTTAAATATTCAAAAAATATTCTTACAAATCTTTGATAAGTTATAGGGATCTAATAATAAAGCATAATGCATTACACGGGCATAACATTTTTAAAAAAAATGGATTTAAAAAAATTATTAGTCAAAATAATTTTAAAGCTTAAATATGGTTGACCTCCTAACCAAATGTCAATCGTCAAAATATCCTCGAATTAAATGATACATATTCAGCCCAGGTTTATAAATCGAAATTGAGAACTGGACCATAGTTCAAATTCCGAAAATTTTTCTTTAAATGGATACTTCCACGATCTGTAAATTCTGCTAATTTTAAACACCAAATAAACATTTTTAAGAATCATTTTCATTTCCTTTTTTAAATTTGAGGAGAGGGACTCAGATTCTTGGATTTACCCAGGGTCAGATTAATCAGTCCTAGAGACCCGACCCGTATTTTAATTTTTTTAAATATATCCGGGCTGGATCTATAAAATCTTTTTTTTAAATAACCGGGTTGGGCCGAATATTAAAATCAAATAATTTAAATTGCCATTATTAACTATAAAAATTAAAAATAAATATAATATTTTTTTTTTAAAAATCCGGGCCGGGGACAAATGCTGCAGGTCTCTAAGATTAATTGATTCATCTATCCCATCCACCAAACTTATCCGGAGTTTTCGATTCCGATTATATAAAAGAAATTTAAGATTAGCCACAAAAATATGGAAGAAAAATAGTTTCGCTATTTGATTCGGTCCCGCGAAACGTGTATTCACTATTATTTGCTAAATCACACTATTTTTTTGGGAGGTGGGGGGGGGAGGAAAATAGCTAATAATGGTGGCGATAAAGCGATTCTATCACATTTAACAAAACTCACAGGTAACGGGTAAGGAAGGCGTTCGCCTATGGGTCGCCAGTGGTTGGGACGATTGGGACTTGGTCGCATTGCCGATATTATTGGCGCTAAAGGAGTTGAAGGTGTCGGAATCGTCGTCGGGTTTGAACCCATTTTCATAGTGGGTGCAAACGGATTCACCGATCACGTTTGGCCTGAGTCTGTTGTTGCAACCGTTGCCGCACGGCGGATGATTGAGACGGAGGCAGGAGTCGAAGTAGTGCTGCAAATTGTCGATTTGGTGATTGAGAATGTCACGGAAGGTCTCCATCTCGGCCAGCTTTTCTCTCAGTCCTAGGCCCCTCTAAAAATTATGTGTAAATGCGTAATATGAGTGCTTGAATGAAAATGCATATTTAAAATCTTAATTTTCAAAAAGATTCCTTTCTTTGATCATACAACATCCTTTGGGATACATAGAGATATGATAAATTCATTTTAGAATTCTAAATCAAAAAAAAAAACGTCGTGTTTTTATTAGTATGTTATCATCATGGTGCCGTCGAAAAAAAAATGAACGAAATCTTGATCGAACAGAACAATCCACATAAAATGATATAGAATAAATTGGTATCCGAATATAAATAAATGACCGAAAAAAGTTGATACCTGTCAACCAAAATTCCATTAACCTTTTAACTTATCCATTTTTCCATTCCTTTCAATAATCCCTTAAACACAATTCAAAAATTTTAAGTAGTCTGGTCGCAGTATCTGACAAATATTTGTTTGACCAGAACCGTCCCCGCATTTCGAGTCGGGTCTTCAATTCTCTAATTTAAAGCATTTAAAAATTTAAACCTTAACGGAACAGGCCGAGTAACTGGACAGGCTGGTGCCGGAAGTTATGGATAGGGAGGAAGGTTGTCTCTTGAGCAGCAAGCTATTTTCGCTGCCAAATCCGGAATCGTCATTACTACCGTTAGAGTTGGCGTTATTGATCCGACAAGATTTGTAAAAATCCAGGGTTTCCATCCATCGGAACCTTTCCCGGTCCGTGTTGGTTCTCAGGTACCAGGCGTTGTCGTTGACCGTCACGTCAAAACGGAGCTCGTCCAGCTCGTGGGGCTAAAAATGAGCCAATAAAATTTCATTATTAATATTTATACAATTTTCCTTTCCTTCACTTTTTCTGTTCTAAGATTCAAAATTCTCCAAATCCCTTTCTTTCAAAAGGAGTTTAAAATTATAGCGAAAAAAATAAATAATATATATATATAATATATAATTAAAATATAAAACAAGTTTCGAGTGATTCAAAAATATATATAATATATATATATATAGCCAGACCCCCGTGTATATTACGTATCTATAATTATCTATAGATTATCGATTCTGATCAATCATTCTTTTTTTTATAAGATTATCGATTATTAAATATATATTTTTTTAAAATTAACTATCACAATCTATAAAAAAAAATGGGGAAGGGAAGGATCACATTTCTTTAAAGTTATATTTAATCAGTTTGCAAAAGAGAAGGGGGAAGAAAAATACCAAGTAGACGGTAAAAAGAAAATCGATTTTAATTTTATGGAATAGAGAGAGAGAGAGAGACAAATAAATAATCTTTATAACAACAAACAAGTCCATAAAGATATTTTTAAAAAAGCCACGCGCCATTTTAATTTTCCCGCATAAAGAATATTTTATAAATAAATTAAATCTCGGAAATTTATATAGTGTAATAAGTAAACGGGAAATTAAGGGGCGAAATGGGCATAACGGATAAAACTCCCATTGAGAAGTTCAAGCCCGCGCTTTAAATAATAAAATTCCAAAAGGTTTCCCACTGGCATAAAGCAGGGCTAGACCTTATCATTGGGGGGGGGGGGGGTCAGCAGTGAGTATATGTTTATTTAGATGATCTCCTGCTGTAAACCAGGGGCTGCTGTTAAAGTTGGAAGTAGAGATATTAACAGAGAAGTGTCCCATTATAAAAATTTACTCCCCTCCCATCCAGTAAGCGTAACATCGGCTGGTCTCTTATGGTCGCGAAGGAGAAAGATTTTGGGGTTTGAGATGGTTGGGGAATCGAAGTTAATTAATTACAATAGAATGCTAACGTTTTCGTGAAGCAGGCGGCCACCTAATATTGTTGAATCCGCCCCGCCATGGCGACATAAGCCACCCATTACGAAAACCGCAACTCCTGCAACGGTGTTCTGCCACCATTATTGAATCTAATTAGAAGACCAAGAGAAACCTTGAACTCATCATGGCCAAGTAAATTGGTCTAAACGATTACAATTATTCACGTGGGAAAACAAAATGGCGCCTAAGACTTTTCATTCTTCCAGTAACCAAGAAAATCAGGATAAAAAAAAACTTTTTACAGGTATTTGTTTTTATTCCGAACTCTCGAGCCCGGATAAACCTTTACGCAGACTTCTATGTCCAAAATTATTTTTTTTTTAAAAATCGAAAAGTTTTAAAACTTTTATATGATTTAAAATTTTAATTGAAATCGTATGCCTATTTTTTAAAAATTTTTATTTTCTTCTTTTTCGATTAAAGTTTCAAAAGTTTGCGAATCGATATTTTTTATTTGATATTTGGGACACAAACTAACGCCTTTTTTCCATTAATTCAAAATCTTATTTTTATTCTATCCAATATTTTTCTTTAATTTTTATTTTCAGCCCGGAATTCGGATTAAATTGGATTAGATATGAAGAAAAAAAGGTAAGATGGGATAGGTCCGATAAAAAACACTTCTTGGCCAATCGGATTGCAAAAAAAAATAAGTCTGATACAGGACTTATAGTGCGCATAAATTGAACGATTTTAAATGCATTTTTATTATTTTTTTTTGTTTTAAATTTTAGACGTTTCATTTAAAAATAAAAATTAACGATTAAGGGTTCAATTTACGTTTACGTTTGTTTATTTGCGTTTTAAAAAGCTGCGTTGAAAAATTCAATTTGTGCGCATTATTAAGTATATTTATTCCCTTCCTTCCTTCCTTTTTAAAATCTTTAAAATCAATTTAAACAAATCTTAAAATTAAAATTCCTTCCTTCCTTCCTTCCTTTTTAAAATCAATTTAAAGAAATCTTAAAATTAAAATTTACGCAAGTCTAAATTATAAAAAAATAATAATTAATTCACTTATAAAACGAGAAAGTGTGTTGTGCGGAATGTATAATTAGCTAGCAGTGTTAACAATAAAATATTCGTATTTTTTTTCTTTAAATAAAAAGTAGTTAATTTGATTGTTTTAAAATGATATCCCTTGGACAATCTTTGTTAACATTTTTTTCTCTTCAATTTTTATGTTTATAAGCGGATTAAAAAATTTTTTAAAAAAAGTTTTTCGAAAATATGAGTCAAATATTTCATGGCTTCATTTTTGTAATGATAAAAAATAAAGAAAGAAAGAAAGAAAGATAAAAAAAATTCTTTACTATTCTTTCATTTTAGTTTTTCCTTTCTTTCGAATAGTCATTAGAAGTATTTATTGAGATTGAAATAGTTATATTTTAAGTTTTCTAAGCCTGAAAATAAAAGATTCGCGAGTTAGTAATAAGTTTATTCTTCCATTGGGATATCTGTATGAATAATACTCCTCGTGAGAAGAGGAGTGTATTATCTTTCCAATTTGTAAAAACTGCGCATCGTGTTGTCATTCAGCGTTCCGATATACTGACAGGTGCTATGCATTACTAGCCTCGTTAGTCGAGGTTTATTACAAAACAAAAGACAAAAGGCTAAATAATATATACGATGGCATGCGAATTCATTGTAAATCCAGATAAATATCTCGTTCGATGATTCCTAACAGATCTATCAAATGTCCCTAATAAAGAGGAATATCCGGAAGAATCACGGGAATATACCTAGTAAAATAAATACCTATCGGAGCGGGAGTCTCTTTTAATTTCAAAAAACATAAGATAGCTTTTTCTCCAGCTCTGTTGAGGCCGATTGAAGCACAATTAAAAGGTTTGGAAGGAAATAAGCCCGATTTCCTATCTATGATATGATCATTAATAGCTATAAAAGATGGCCGTAAAACGTGAGTCTACGTCTAAAATCTTTTTAACTTACTTTTTAGTCAGCCTTAACCTATATTTGATGCAACTGCTCTAAATTGATTGACATATCCATTAAAAATATAATATTAGAGCTAATGTAGGGCAATGAGACTAGAATAGTGTTGCTAAAAAAAACTTCGATAAGATTTTAGTTAAAATTATACTAAACTTTGTGATTTAACCACCATATGGGAAAAGGGTTTGGTTATATACTGGCAAAACCAGGTATTCTTTTTCTTTTATGCAAATTTTGATTCAGCCATTTTTAATATATTTAAACTGTGTATCATATATAAATTAGATTATGGTACGCCATTTTAGTCTCCCGCGCAAAGAATCTGCACTAAAAAAACTATTTGAGAAAAAAGAAATAGCGTATCACCAGCTGATTTATATTCAACGGCGCTTCAAAATGTTTTGTAATGAATGAATCGTCTGTCTAGAATTGGCGCTAACTGTGAATGGAGGGTTATGTCATTTACCAAATTTCTGGTCCAACAATGAGATCAAACTGGGAGAAATGAATTTTTTTTTTTAAATTTAAAAAGTTATGACCAGAATTTGGATAACCTGAACTAAAAAAACGAGTTCTATTTCCGGTTCTAAAATATTTTTTAAAAAATGGCCTTGGTTCCTGCAAAAAGTGAGATCTAATTCCGGTTCTTTAATCGCAGTTCCGGGTGTACGAAGTTCCACTCCAAACTCTGGTTATGACATTTTTAAAAAAAATATATAACGACGAAAACAGAAAAAAAAGATGGAAGCCGAAAAAAAATTAGAGGTAACAAAACAGTTAGGATTTTTTTTGGGGGGGGAGGGGGGGGGGTCAGTTATTATATTACCCAAAATTTGAAGATTTGTCCGAATCCTGGTGTGACGTCAAAGTGGAACATAAATAAAATAATGCTGAAATCAATACCGAACAATAATTGATATGGAACATTCAGGAAACTTTAACCTTGTGATCCAAACCTTAAATTATTTTAGCCATGGACGCCCCAGTCCGGCTCCATAATGATGTAGAGAATGGGGGGGGGGGACTGATTGCCTCCGCGTATTCGGAGAGTAACTACAGTAGAGAGATCCTAACGATGATATTTAGGGATTACGAAATTTAAAATATATTCTTATACAGGAACTTGGATACTGACAGTAGGTAAATCGAAGTCCACTAATAATAATTAAAAGGTGCATCATAATGGAAATTCCACGATTCGCCAGGGTAAGGATTGGATGGGGGGGGGCATATTAGAGGATGAATGTAAATTAAAAGTGGTAAAAAATGTTAATGGTCATATTAGAAAAAATTCGACTTGGTAGGGGGAGGGAAGGAGTTTAAGTATAGTCATAATCGATTTGATTAATTATTAGCCGGTATTTATGGATGCTGTTAGCAGAATTTTTAAGTGTTATGCATATATCAACCACAAGAAGGATGATATTTTACTTTTGTATTTTCATTTCAAATTGATTTATAATCGTAAAAATTTAGTTGTGACTAGATATTTTCTTTTATTCTGAAGAAGTCAATATTTATCATCCAAAAAATGATTTTTATATATTCGTCAGTGAGATCCAAAATACATTCTATACAATAAATTCACTATTCTATCATCTAAACGATTTCGTATTCCAACAGTATCTAGGCACAAAAATGTCGTGCCTGTATTTATATAAAAGTATTTATATCCATATTTAGACACATTTTTAGGCCAGGTATTGTATCTATTAAAATAACAATATTTGCGAGACTTGGCAACTAGAACATTAAAAGTAATCATTACCCCTAAATTTGAATAATGGTTTTAAAAAAAATTAGATATTTCATATCAATTTCAGGCGAGTGCTAAAGAATCCCGGCTTGCATTTATAGTTAATGCGTTATCTTTAAGGGTTGCATTATTACTGCTGATTCAGTTTTAAAAAAAGTGAATAAACACATACAATTCATTTGAAAGGAGATAGGGAATTATAGAAGACACAAAAATGAATTTGGGGTAGAGGAAAATTTTTGATTGAACATGAATAATCAAAGAAATAAAATGGAAAAAGTGAAATATTAAAAAGATACTTTTTGGACTAGAAACTACAGTGTTGTAATGATTTAATGAAACATATTGACGATTTAATTTAAACACATGCATATATAATTATAATCTTTACAACTGTACAACAAAAGAAATAATAAAAGAAATTTCAATAATACTTTGTCTATATTTTAATTATTTTTGCAAATATTATCATTTATATGAATGGGTTTAAATTTAATCGTCAATATGTTTCATTAAATCATCACAACACTGTAGCTTGAATTTTAAAATGATTTTTGGCCTGCTCCATGTAATCTTTGGCCTGGCTATGCCAATACACCGAGAAATGGAGGGAATAAATGTAATTCACACATAAAAATATGGAAGTTAACTCGATTAATGAAATGGGATGCAAAATAATCACAGCTTTAGATCTGCACAATATAAGCAGCCCAATAAAATAGAATAGTATGAAACATAGTAAATCAATAAAACATACTATTACATGTTAGCAATGGAAGTTATCCAAGACTAATTTTAGTAAATTCATGACTTTAGTGGCTCTGGTCATTAAAACAAACAAGTTTACTAATATTATATGGTGGTAAAGCAGCATATAAAGTAATATTGCAAAAATAATAGTTTAAAATAAAATTACAATTTGCTTTATGAAGTATTTATTGTTCCACATATTTCTGTAGGGTAAATATTTTTAAAAGATAGGTTTTGCTGTAAACAAAAAAAGAATGCATTTATACATGCTAATTATAAATCTGAAGACATTTCAATTAAGCTACTCATATTATTAATATTAATAATTGAAATTAAGATGTATGCCAAAAACATTTTATAAATGTCCTCAAAAGAACTCTCGATAAATAATAATTATCCTTATCTTCCAATTTGTGAATGTTGTAAATTACTTTTCTCTCGATTAAATCTTTTATAATTTAGCGAAAATTCTATTAAAATTTAAGATAAAGATTTAATTGATGAGTAGTAAATAAAATAAACATGAATTAATTATATTGAGTAATGTATAAAATAAACCGTAATAACAGCTTTGGATAGGCTAACAGCGCCTCTGCATCCGAATTCCACATCATCTTCTGATTTATAATAGCTTAAGGTACCCTGTTTCAATATTACAAATCGATCTTGCCAGCCATGGATGTAATTAGTCCATTTGCTCAATGTGCCATGAATTTCAGGTAGTCCAGAATATATATTTTCTTCGATGAAATCATCGTCATCACTCAAATTAGCACCCTCTTCTTCGGTCATCATTATGTTATTCAAATAATCTCATGAACATATGAGGGGGTGTATATCGCAAAAAAATTAAATAATTTAGATCTCAACGAGGGATAATTGATTGGTCGATAAATAACAATAATAAAAATTCTAAAATTAAATTGAAATATATATTTAACTTATTAAATATATGCCTAACCTAATACCTAGGTTTTTAGAAAAACAAATATATCAGAGAACAATTTATTTAGCCGATGAGTATATATTGATTGACTAATAATAGCCAGTATAGACTTAATCATATTATAAATATTAATAGTTTATAGTCAATAAGATTAAAAAAATCTGAATCCTAAGATATTAAATTTCTACATTTAAGATATAATAATTAATCTCTAGAATGTTCTTTGTTTTTATTAAATAACATTTTTTAAGTTAAATTTTCTTCAATTTAATAATTTAAAGTTTCTTGATAAACACTGTAATGCATTGGCGTACGGAGAGGGGGGGCAGGGGGACAAACCCCCCCCCTCCCCCTAAAGCCAAATAATTCAGGTGCCGGATTATATTTTTCATAAATAATATTGTTAATATTAATTTATACTTGTTAATATTTATTCCTATCTCATATATATATATATATTTAATTACATTTATTTATCACATTCATCTACTAAGTTATTTTATCAATTAATTTCAATTTCAAGTTTTCCTTGGCGTAATTTATCTATTATTTTCTCTAGTTGCGTAATATTTATCTAAATTTCTAGTCAAATAATAATTATCTCTGAAACTCCTTGTCCAACAGGGAGAAAGAAATTGCAAGCTTGTCCAATGAGATGGACTCTCCGCCATCAACCAGTAACAGCTTTTATGGAGTTAGAAGAGCCGATTATTATTGCTATTACTGAAATATCACAATGGCTTGAAAGAAATATTTCCTCCAAGCAAGAAAATTATTGGATTCAATACTTATTCCAAATTTTTTTTTTCATTAGAATGTATTATTTAATTATACAACTATTTTATGCAATACTTTTCAAAAACAGAGAGCATTTTATTAGAACTCAAGGAAATTAGAGCTAATGTTGATGAAGAATTTCATATTTTATATGTTATTGTTGAGTCAAGAAAGCTATACATGTGTAATATTTGTCCCCATCAACTTGCAGCAAGCAAGCTCATCGTCAAAACATTAATATAGGATCAGTAGAAGAGTATTATAAAACAAATGTCCCCTCTCCCTACCTTTTTCATATGGTGATAGAAAAAAAATATAAATATTTGTTATATTTTTATCATGAAGATGTTAAAATATCTTATGATGCCTTATTAGCTGAATAACTATGATTAAAAGATTAACTATTGTTGATACAGTCCTAAAAAATGCTATGGATGCTTTGCATTATTTCAAACACATTTTAGATTATACTCCCAATGTATTAAAATGGTTATATATATATTAGCAGCTCTTTAGTAAACTAATGAGAGACCATTCTCCTTTTTAAGAAGAATAACAGAGCCTTGCAGAGATACTATTTGCAGGACACGGCCCAGATTTTTTTTTTAAATTTTTTCCGGCCCGGGGTTTTTTTTAAAAAAATTTTCAGGCCCGCCCGGCTTTTTTGAAAATAAAATTTTCGGGCCCGGACCTTTTTTAAAATAAATTATATTTATTTTTGATTTTTATAGCTTATAATGGCGATTTAAAATATTTGGTTTTAAAATATACAGCTCGGCCCGGATATTTTTCCTAAAAAAATTTCCAGGCCCAACCCGGATGTTTTTTTTAAAAAAATTTCCAGGCCCAACCCGGATGTTTTTTTTAAAAAAAATTACGGGCCCGGCCCGGGTATATTTAAAAAAATTAAAATAAGGTCCGGCTCGGGGGTCGGGCCTGCAAGTCTGTGAAAAATATACCTATGAATATAACATCTGAAAGTATATTTAATGATTTGGATCTTTTGAATATTCATAGGTATTTAACGTCAAGCAGGGATAGATAATTGGAAAATTAGCTCAAAATATACAAAATACAATTATTCCTAAGAAACAATACTTTATATATTTTAAAAGCTCAAAAAATTCAAATTTCAATTTTGGATCATTTAAGTGATTCATATCGTGGGTTATTTTCACTTTATATTATATAATTCACATTTATTTTATAGTTTTTTAATGCCGGTTTATATATACAATTTTTTTAATTCACATTAGTTTAAAATTGTGTATTAGAAAAGTTATTAGTCCTAATAAATTTATCCTTAGTATTTATAATTAATAGTAGTATTTCTTAAAAACTTTTATTATCCCCCCCCCCCCAGACCAAATTCCTGCGTACGTGCCTGCTGTAATATAGTAACCTACTTCAAGTACTGGGAAACATGTCTCTATAACTTACGATGAACTTTCATAAGTCGCAATAAATGAAAGATCTTTTAGCTGATTAACATGTTTTTCTCGAGAATTTCAACGATATGAATAAAATCCTGTCTTCTTTTTTATTTTTCCCTTCTCCAACCTTCAGTATTTTTATTGATTAATCAACCAGGTTATGAAATCTAGAGTTCTCTCAACCGAGTTAAATCAAGGTTTTGACTTTGTCTCTCATTTGACTTTTCAATCTCATGTTCTATAGCCAATCCATACTACAATCAGGGTTGCCAGGTCAGAATTTTGAAATTGCGGGAGAAATTTGGTATTATGCGGGAGAAATATGAAAATTGCGGTAGAAATATAAAAATTGCTAAAAAAAAATTGGGCAGCCTTAGGCCTGGATTTTAAATTGACTTAACTATCCGCCCATTATTTTTTATAATTAATTTATATAAATACAAAATCGGTAACTCTTTTTCAAAATAAAATAACATCTTGATTTATTTAAATATATTAATTTATAAAAAAAACCAACGATCTTTTTTAAATATAATAGAATGTAAACAAGATAATATTTTATAAAAAAAAACGATTTTAATTTTACAATTAAAAAAACATTTTATGCGAATGTCCTGCAAACCGCAATTAGAAATCTATCGTGTGTGTATAAATATTATAGAGATAGGCGCTTAATTATCACTATCACGTTTAAATACATAATAAGGTACTCTAAAAATAAGAAATAATACAGATGCAACTACAGTTGCGGCAATTGTAATCACTTATCTTGTAGTACAACATTCACAGAGATACTTATCATTACAATGTTGGTAGAATCTTTTCTCCATAATGTTTAACGACTCTAATATAAATGAAAACTATACTTGTAGAACAAAAATGATCAAGGCTATCATCAATGTTTTAGGACCTAAATCCAGGAGGTCAATTCTTGACGATTTGAAAAATGGGCATACATATGCAATTCTAACAGATGCATCTAATAAGGGAAATATTTTAAAATATTTCCCTTCCCTTGATCCTCCGCTATTTCAACAAAATTAAGGTCGTTTTAATAAAACTATTAAATTTTTTCCACTCAAATAGTGAAAAATCCAAAGACATAGCTATAACCATATAATGGCAAATATAGCAGATTCGAGATTATCAATAAATTGCATGTCAGCTTTCTGATGATAATGCCTCAGTGAATTTGGTAAAAACAGAGTGTATTTATAGAATTGAGTCAGCACATAGTTAGTTGCGATATGTTCCTAATACCCGCCAACGATAGAATTTTAAAATTTTATAAACCTTTAAAAAAATATTTCTTAAATAAAGATTAAAACAGCTGTCCTAACATTTTGAAAATTTTTTCAATAATGAATGGCAGAGGTATATTTAGGAATGATTTCACATGTAGGAAATCTACTACATGCTGTTAATGTGTAGTTGCAATCAGAAGAATCTTAATAAAGATTCACAAAATTATGGTGAAGATGTGTTCATCTTTATAATTAATATTTGACAATAAATTTTATACCATTGCTAACTAAAACTTAATTATATTTTATTTGAGATTTAAATAATAGAACTAAATGCTTACCACGTTATTGAGATATTTATAAAATTCCTGGCATGACATATAATATATTTGTTTAACTATTAGCTCGGCCTCTAATGTTGTTAAAACAATCCGATTTTTCTCCTTTTTCCAGGCAGTCCTCATCAGGCTAAAAATGCGCTCGGATGAGGCATTAGAATGAGGTAAGGAGAAATACTCGCATATTTTTTCCAAGCATGTGATTTATCGTTATTACGAAAAAATTCTACCCATTTCTCCTCTGCTTTTAAACCATCTAACTTTAAGTATTTTGGCGAATCATAAAAAATAGAGAGAATTACAATCTCCTCAAACAAGACATCAATGTTTTTCGGTATTTTTAATATATTTATTAAATTATAAAAACCATCAATTTATGGTCTCTATTCCAAGGTCATCATATTTATACATTGGAAATAGAGTTATTAAAAACAAATTTTGATTGTAAATATTCTAAAATTGTCTTAAGAAAAATATTTGCTTCATTTAAAAATGTATTAATTAGAGTATTATTTGAACATTTTAATATAATATTTTTAGCAATAGCGCCATAAAATTTATTATCAATTTTTAACTGTAGAGATGAATAGAGCTGTAGCATGATTTTGTGAATCTTTTTTAATAAAGAATATTCTAATTGCAACTGAATAGCATGAAGTAGATTTCCTAAATATGCTTCTCGCCATTTCATACTTGAAAAAATTTTTCAAAATTTTAGGACAGCTTTTAAAATCTCTGGGTTTGTAAAATTTTAAAATTCTATCGATGGCAGGTATATTCGTGACAATCACCTGATAGGTATATATAGCAACAACTCACACCATTCCAAGTATGACCACTTCACCAACTCTTTTAATTCATTAACTCTTTTAGTTGATGAATTAAATTCGTTAAAACATTTCATCACAATTATTTCGACATCCACAGATAGTACATTCATTGTCTTCTTGCAAGAATTATGTAGTATATATGGCATCCAATTGGTCTTAATTCATTATTGTGCTGCCTCAATTCGGGAACTTTGATTTTTGCCAAAATTACAGAGGCATTATCAGCGCAGAAAGCTGACATGCAAATCATTGATAACCCTGAATCAGTTATATTTACCACTATGTGGCTAGCT